AGATACCATAACTTTGTACCACTGTGATAACAGGAACACAAGGTGTGAATGACAAATGAAAGAAGATCTCTAAACATTATATGAGTTAATGGTTTGTAGCTTGATTTGTTTTGCATCCCAGAATTTGAATATTTCTATCAAAGTCCAAGAGAGAGATCTAGCCAGTATTGGCAAACACTTTTCTTACATTTTAATGGCTACTCTATATTGTGTATGTGGTGGTTAACTAGGATGATCTTGGCTGTTAAAAGGCTTGACTGAATAAAGAGGTTTAACAAATGTACATACTCTGATCTTCTGTTTCTGCGGGCAGCAATTTCTCAGCTTCAGATGAACCATATAACTAGATAAACAGTTTGTGGTTTATTTGGGCTGACATGAGAAGTCACATTTCTCTGCATACATATAAAAATGGGACTGGTGATTATCTGGTCTGGGAAACAGCCAGAGGGGTTCGTCCAGCCTTCCTGTTCTCGGGATTATCTTCAATGGGTCATGGAGAGCTGATTGTCTCTGGACTATGTCTTGATACCTTTGATAAAGCATTTTATAAATTTTATATACAGTATACAAAAAGATACAAATTACACTGAAAGTCAAGAAAAATAGATACAATTGTTGAAGGGTTAGAAACATAGAGTTGAAGAGTTTATAACTGATACTGGTTTGGTCTCGATCTTCTGATGGTTTGAACTTATGCAAGTCGAAAAAGGGTCTTTTTTATTTTAAAAAGGAAAAATTATAGATGTATTTCTGAGCCCTTGGTGAACTATAAATCTTCTCGGCCGGGGTGGGGGGGACTAATAGTGGTTTGACAACGTTGACTTACAGAAATCATGTAAATTGCATAGGGTTTTGTTAGGCATGCAATTGTGAGAAGTGGTTTTGCCAATTCCTTTCTTTGAAATGTAGCCTATAGTACCTGGCTTTTGTTGGCAGTCTCTGATCAGGTTTGTTGAAGTTGTGTACTCTGATATAATTTCTGATTTAAGATGACCCTAAATTACCCAATCAAAAGTTTTTTGGAGGCTGAGAGTATGTGGCTTGCCTAAGATTACCAAATGGGTTTCATGGCTGAGGGGAGAATTGAACCCTGGTCTTCAGAGTCATAGTCCAATGCTGAAATCATTACACCATGTGAGTTATCCCTATTAGAGTAGCAGTGTCTTAATTTTTTGCTGTGCTTCTGATCAGTATAATGAAATGATTTTTAACTATAACAAAAGGTATATTTTCATAGCACAGACATGAAATGACATGAAACAATAAAAAACAATTCAGTTCCATATTGACAATATAATCCATATTGTGAGAGAATTACAGAATCACATAGTTAGAAGGGAGTGCATGAACTATTTAATTCTACCTTCTCCCCCCACAACATGCATGAATACATACATAATTAAAGCTGTCCAGAGAGATGACCAAAGAGATGGCCTAAGTTTAATGACCCCCTTAGAGACCAAAACACATTTACCTAAATGTAAATAATACTACATAACAAAATTTGAAACATATTCTGTTCCTGGTTTGAAAGTGTTATTTCCTGTTTAACTGTGTGGTATTTACTATGAAAGTAGTTGTTGTAGTCCAGTAACTTCGTTTTTATGTCTGCCAAAAACTGTTGAATTGGTTGTGACGCTGCCCGATATTAAATGAAAAACTATAGCAAAACTTTCTTCAGGATGTCTCACAAAAACAAAGTTTTTGGAGTTTAATAAACTTTCCCCATTTTTAATGATAGAACCAATTAGGAAATGTTGTTTATAACCCAGAAACAAAAATTGTACTGCATAGTGTAATTGGAATATATCTTAAATATAGATAAGCCAAGTTTTTGGTTCTCAATTGCAAGGTGAGCAATAATGCTAACCATCCTCCATAAACAGCAGGATGTCCTGGAAACCCATATAATAAAAAAATTCAATTGTACTGTACTTTCCATCATAAGTCTAGAGTCAAGCCGGCTTGACAACAAAAAGTTGCAATACATTCTGCCCTTTTAGTTGGGAGTGTCCTTGATGATATCCTCCAATTTCAAATATTTGTACCCTGTCCTTCTCAATCCCCCGAGGGAGGACTCAGGTTTACAACCAACCATTGTTCTTGTCATGACGTTATGTTCTCAGTTTTCACTTTTTCTTTTAAAACTGATAAACTGAATTCTGTGTTTCTGGGCTCATGAGAATTGTCAATGATCTTGGACTGGAACTCTGGACTATGATTTGGATTTGCGGACTTAGGCTTGGTTGTGTTTTAATATTTTAATGCATTTTATAATCTTGTTGACTTGTTTAATGTTAATTGTTTTTACTGCAATTGTTTGCCTGTTGGCATCTAATGACTGCCAGTCGTAAGCTGCCCTGTGTCCCCCCTCGGGGGTTGAGAAGGATGGGATATAAATGTTTTAAACAGACAAACAAATAATCAGTCATTGTATGTATTTGTCTTTTTCCAGTTTCTTTAGAAGTAAGGAAGGTAGTTTCTCTAATAAAAATGTGTGTACTGTAATTTTATTTGAAACTGCTCAGATGAGGAAACCAAGTTGTATTATAAAGTTAGGAGAATAGTATAAGAGATTTTGTGCATACTTTTTATACTTCTTTCTCCAAGTTGTGTGTTAGAAATCGAGTGTCCACTGGGAGTATATACAGCATGCCTTTGGTGTCTAGTTGAGTTCAGGCACAGCACATACAGGCACGTACCCTTGTGATCACCAAAATCTAAGGATGCTCATCCTGTTATATATAATGGTGAACATTTAAACAAGTGCTGGAGAGAGCTTAAGGATCTGTGAAATGGCAGGAGGGTACAGCAGAATATGACTACACATCAATGCAGTGCTTGGCATGTGGCATAATCAAGTGTGGCCTTTCCACTAGCAACATTTTTCTTTTAAAAAGTAATAAAAATGTAATATTTCAGCAAGATATGCAGAATTTATATGGAGGGTAAATTGATTCACTTTATCTTCCCTATCCTTAACTTTTGGAAAGCATTTCAGGTAGGTATGTGCAGAGGTCAAGGCATTAGGATGCTTGAAAACCAGTTTAAGACTTAAGGCAATGAAAACTTGTGACACTGAGATAAATGGCCACTTGATGTTCCCATCTTTCCTATATCCCATTTTATCTGTATTCACCATCTTGTCTTATTGCCATGTTAAAAACTACAAGTTCCAGAGATCTAAATTCAATTGCTGATCCTAATTTAGTAATTAATTAAATAGGTCTACTCCAACATGTAGCAATTGGGTATAGAGCAACATCCCTTGAGCAGAAGAGCAAAACAATGTGTATCAGATAGTGAAAGCAAGTGCTGCAATGTTTCTGGTAAGATTTGTGGCTCTACCAGTCACTGTGAAATTCACTCACAGTCACTGTTATGACACAGTTTTTAACCATGTCATCTTCTGTGCATTCAGTAAGAATCATAATAACAACAAAAAACCCTTCAAGTTTACTTTTGGGAAGGAATATTAATTGCCTCCGCTTACATTACTAAATGAAAGTTACCAAACATAACTGCACTAACAAATTTTTAGTGGCGTGTGCATAGACGTATGGATTTTTTCCATGCAGCCAGTGTCTATGACAGAAGTTAAAATCAATGATAAATTACAGTCCAGGAGTGAAAAATCATCTTGTGATGATAACTAGCCCTGTGTCAAATTCTAGTACAGTGGCCCCAATATATCCATGGGGGTTTAGTTCTGGGACCTGTCACAGATATGAAAACATGGGTGATCACACTCCATAATATTAAAAGGTGACAATGTAAGCATGTATATTTCAGTGTACCAGTGTTCTCATGCCACCATTTACTAACCCAAGATGTGACGATCCACAGACTCTGTAAATCTATCATCTAGGTCTTGAAGCTCCAAAGGGCTCACTGTGTTAAGAATAAGGATGAAAATAAAACTTGTGAAGACAGAGCTTCACAAACTGTGTTGCAACATGTTAGTGTGTTACTTAAATGTAACAAGAAATTACAAAAATCTCAGAAATATATATTATCTCACAAATCATATTTTAAAAAAAATAAATGAAATATTTTCATGAGTTATATTGTGTCTTCACACAATTAATTGTAAAATAATCTCTTTGATTTGTTTGTCTTTAAGAGCTCACAATATTTTCAATGTGTACTATCAGAAAGATAAAGAAAACAGTAATTTCTGCTGATTTTTCCATTAATCCATTGATGTCTATTCTGATGACTGATGCAGTGAAAATTTCCCGAAGAACTATTGCTACCTAGGCTAGGTGATATACACATAATACTTTCATTTATACAGTTGCGTTACCAAGTGATCCTATTTCACATCATACCGGGTGGAAGTTCCACCACCTTTGTATTTTCTAGATCTTTTTGTGCTCTCCTGAATAAGTCCTCTTTGAAGTTCTTTCTTTGTCCAAAATTTGAGAGGGATGGTCATTGCCAGCCTAATAAACTCCAAACAAAACTCAACAAGGCCTAATTCCCACAACTTTCAGAAAATGATACCAAAGATTTTATTTATTCAGACCATCATTAAATACATGTAGATTTTGTTTCAGCTGTTTAAAGGATTTTGCACCCGAATCATTATTGTTGCTGATGGCTTATAATTTTGTCATTTCATTTTCTTGCTGAATTGAGCTCATCTTCATTCATTTCAAACAATAATACATAGATACTGTACTAAGTATTGTGAACTTGAAGTACAGTATGGGTTTTGATGGTTTAAGACTGTGCATAGCTCTCTCCAGCTTAAATCATGGATAATGGCTTCAGCTAGTAAAACATTGAATGAATGTGGTGATTGATTTAAAGATGATATAAAATTGATTAATGCTGATATGATGAGAAGAGGCCATCATAATGTCTTACACATAAAATATGAAATGTGGTTTTCAAAAGCTTCCTTCTGAGTTGTGTCATAAAGACAAGTTTGCATGTTTGGGAAGTGATGAACTACTCCTGATGTAGTATTTTCTGTTTCTTTTCCAATTCAGCTTGGTATTGCAGTGGGTTTCCTTCTCCCTCCAGTTCTGGTTCCCAATTCGGATGAGAAGGAGGAGCTGGCCTATCACATTCGCATCATGTTTTTTATGACTGCAGGTGTGGCAACGTTACTCTTCATCTTAGTTGTCTTTGGTAAGTTGAAAAATCCAAAAAAAGGGGGGTATTGAATGCTGAGCACACAAATCTAATCAGACTGTTGTCTGAATATGCATTTTTTCCTTTGGCTTATTCCCTGTAAACCTGTAGTGTCTGGGATTAGGACACATGGATTCAAATCCTGGCTTTGAAGAGTTAATCTCTCCAAACCCTAAGCCTGGGCGCATGGATGAATCTGTCAGTTTTAGTTTCCCCTACTTTCACATTTTTAAATCTCAGATTCTTTTTATTCTGAAGGGATATTCGTATTCAGAATGAATGGAAACAAAATCCCTGATTGCATCACCACTTCCTAAGAAAAAAAAGTTCCCTTTCTCAATGTAGTGCTCTTAAGTATCTAAAGCCCTTCAAATAAATTATCTACTTATAATTTTTAAACAATCCTGACAGTCACTTCAGCTCTGTGCCTTCTGTAATGCTATCAGAGCTGCCTTCCAAACATTGTAATATCTCATTTGACCCTGAAATATTCATCTAATACCCAGCTTTGACCCTTCCTAAATGCTCTTGCTCTTTCACAGTCACCTCTTGCATGCTAACACTTTATTATCAAGAAATAGTTTTCTAAGGTCTGTAGAGATAATTCACAGGAACACCTTAGCAAGTGAGAGTCCAAAAGTGGCAGGCTAAAATCCAGAACCTCAAGCCATGGCTGATACCAAATGAGACACTTGCTCTTGGACACACAGAAGACTGGGTGACTTGGAAGGCACTGAACAGACTATGCTCTGGCACCATGAGTTGCAGAGCCAACTTAAAAAATGGGGCCACAAAGTGGAGTCCACAACATGCGAGTGTGGAGAAGAGCAAACCACAGACCACCTATTCCAATGCAATCCGAGGACCTTCTTATAGTAACACAGTGGCCAGCTACTGGTCAAAGGACATTTAATATAATGCCAAGTTTTTAAAACTTTGTGTTTTTTTAATACAGTACAATTGTACCCTTGGTTCGGTCCTGGTACGATAAATAAAAATAAAATACCTCTTGCATGACCCATTAAAAAGTAGGTATTTTAGCTTTTAAAAAGCCAGAGTTGGTGAATCAATACACTTCTATTTCGCCAGCTTCTCTTAGTGACAGAACTGAAAGATAAGAGACATGTTAGTCTGAATCGGTATGCAAAGGGATCTTGTTAGTCTTGAGATTAAATGAAAGAAATTTGGTAACAGAACTTTTTGTAGACTTCTTTGAATGTTTATGTTATCTACTGCTTTCTCTGCATTTATATACCAGCTTAACTGCCATAATTTCCATGACCTCCCCAGAGAGTCATATAGAGCATCCATTCCCAGTTGCTGATTTCTAGTTTTGTGCTCCTTTTCCATCTCCCCTCCCCTTTGTCTCTCCTGCCCCAGTTTTCCAGGAAAAACCTCCCTATCCTCCAAGCCGGGCCCAGGCCATGATCCACTTGGCAGCACCTGAGGAGTATTCCTACCTGCAGTCTATTTTGCGACTGTTTCGCAATGTCAACTTTATGCTGCTGATAGTCAGCTACGGTAAGGTCCTTGCCCTACTTGGAAGGGGTTTCTGGTATTTTGCTTTTATTCGTTTGTTTTATTTACAAAATTCCTGTGCCCTCTTTCTGCCATATATAACATTCATGAAAGCTGGGTTAAATATAAAACAGTAATGCCTGCCATAATAAGACATTCCTTATTTGTACGAGATGGTTAAACTGTCCTTTGCCTGTTAATAAATCCACCTTTCTCCGTGATGTTGCATGTAGGATTCTGCTTAAGTCTTATGGAGACTGGTTACCTCTGGAATCTTTTTCGTTTGCTCATCTCTTCTCCTACACTCTTCTTTTTCTTACAGATTTGAGTTCCTTCATTCTCTACCAGTTATTATAATGACTGATCAGAATGTCCACATTAACTATTTTTATTTATTTTATTATTTTTATTTAATTGATCCTTTGTACATATTCATTTGCAATTCTTTAGATTTAATTGTTAGCCCTTCTTGAATATGCTTTGTCACTTTTTATCCCCTTTTCTCTGTCTCATTATATCCTTTTTTGTACTCTTTTCTCCCTTTTGATGAAAAAAATAGTTAACTGATTTTTCACTCTAATGTTCTCCAATGCCATATCTTTTAAATATTTTCTCAAGGGATGTCAGGAAGGGTCTGGGGTGGGAGGCCTCTCTCTTCCTTCAGTGCTGGCTTCACTCCCTCACCCCCCTAACTACAACTCCTCTGTAATGTTGGTCCCTTGAACCTTTACTACAGTTCCCTCTGTCTCCTGGTGACGCAGTGGGTTAAGGCGCTGAGCTGCTGAACTTGCTGACTGAAAAGTTACCTGTTCGAATCCCGAGAGCGGGGTGAGCTCCTGCTGTTAGGCCCAGCTTCTGCCAACCTAGCAGTTTGAAAACATGCAAATGTGAGTAGATCAATAGGTACCACTTTTGTGGGAAAGTAATGGTGCTCCATACGGTCATGCCGGCCACATGGCCTTGGAGGTGTTTACAGAGAATGCCGGCTCTTTGGCTTAGAAATTGAGATGAGCACTATACCCTCTCCAGAGTTGGACACGACTAGACTTAATGTCAGGGGAAACTTTTACCTTTACCTTACCTCTATCCTGTTATGCTGGTGCCTTGATTTTTATTCCTTTAAACATGTTAAACCTTGTATTCACTCCACCATGTTATTCCGTTCTTATGTTAATGTTTATATGGCAAATGAGATTTTCCAGACATTTTATTGCTTATTGTAGGATTAGCTGTTCAGGCCAAAATGACTCCAGGTTTTACTCCCATTTCTGCTCTAAGCTGTCAACATCACTAGCAAAGTTCCTGTTCAACTCTAAGTGACTGAAGGAGGAGGGTTTGTAAATGCTAGAGGGCAATTGATCCTCCTTAGTGGCAGATAAACCAACCTCCCTGAGTTTTAACCTTTTTTTGAGTATTGGCCCTTTGTATCTATAGGTTCTGTATCCGTGTTCAACTGACCATGGCTCAAAATATTTGGAATAAAAATCTAAAATTCCTTGATGCTGAGCTGATATAAATATTCTACATATTCACTGATATACATATTCACTGATATACATATTCTACTGTAGTCTCCTGTATTTCATAGATCTTCAGAGCCTTTCTGGCATTCATTTGAGTTACTTGCCATTTTATAAAAGGATGCTTTTCTACTATGCCATTGTCTATAATGAGACTTGAGCATTCATCGATTTTGGTCTCCAGAGTGGGTCCTGGAAACAAACTCCAGCTGATACCAAGAATCTACTGTATAATTGCAAAAAAAGAAAGAAAAAGTAGAAAGACCAGAGATATAGCCAGATGACTAGATAGCTAGATAAGTTGACCATATTTTTAGGAACGTATACTGACATCTAATTCTCTCTCTCTCTCTCTCTCTCTCTCTCTCTCTCACACACACACACACACACACATATAATTGATAGTGGGCAATGGTCCTGTATTTGGTAGGAAGCAGAGATATAGCCACATCTTTGGGACCATCACACAAATATCAACACAGTGTCCCAATGCACAAGAGTCCCAATGCAGACATATCCTAACACCCAAAAGGATCTTTTGCACATTGGAACATGTTGTGCAACAGGACATATTATACACTGGTGCCCCATTGTGTGTTGTCTCAGTTCATTAGCATAGTTGCATAGCATGACAGCAAAGTAGCTCCATCATGATAAAATCACACATCTTAGCCTCTGATCCAGAACCTCATATTTCCTTGATACTGGTGATTATAAAATGCACATTCACAAGCACCTAAAGCAGTGAGATCTTCTGATAATTAAACAATAGATGGAGATCGTTGATTATTCCAGCCTTGGAGTATTCGTCTTTGACAATAGGAAGAGGATGCAGCATCCAATTACATCAATCCCATGTCTAAGGAATATATTTCAAAAGAAAACATGTGTCTTCAAATATAAAACATACTATATGTGTCATCATTCTTCTGTTCTGCGGTTCATAGTTTTTTAAACTACCATATACTTGTCCAAGATAATTTTGTGATACTAACTAGCCCTATGTCAGGTTGGAGATTTGAGTTCAAAAAAGAATTTTTGCTCTTCTCTTGGCCTGTCAAAGACCGTTTGCTATTTAGACTGACAGCAAATCTCTCCAAAGATTCAGGCAGAGAGAGGCCTCTTAGCTGATTTACTTTTATGTGGAGATGCCAAATTTTAAGCCTATAGCTTCCAGTATACAACACCTGTGCTCTGATACCAACTTTCTGCTCTTGATTGTCGACTCACTTAAAGTAATCTCAGAACAGCTGAGAAGGTGAGACTTCTGGTTAATGCTTGTTAAACTTGTGTTTTAGAGCATTCGATTAGCTTAAGTGAATGTCATTTCATTTCACAGTTCTGTACATTCATACCTTGTGAGGAGAAAAAGGATGTGGGTACAAAAACCTGTTTGTTTTTTTCCGATGTCTTGGAGACCACAATGGGAGTTTGGCACTTTTATGCATAAGTATAACTCTTTATTCCTGTTGTTACTATGAAGACACAATTATGGTGATTTTTTTTTGTTTTTAAATAGAGACATGCAACATAAACATCAATACACTCTTGCAGTGGTGGGACCCATAATAGAGGAAATGAGAGTTGTGCTTAGTAGAAGTGCTTTGGTTCTTTGATGCAAAAGTAGATAGGAAGAGAGTGGTCCTGGATGGAGGGAATTAGAGAACAAACATGTTGTACTGTGTGCTCTTTCTTTGCGGTGTCCTGCAGAACAGCAACAAGAATGGAAGGATACAGGGAACCTGCCAATTGGCAAAGATGGCTGTAGTCACAAAAACCCATCCTGAATAAAACCCGTCATTCTTAAAGATGCTAAAGCAGGCATGGACAAACTTTGGCCCTCCAGGTGTTTTGGATTTCAACTCCCACAATTCCTAACAGCCTACCAGCTGTTAGGAATTATGGGAGTTAAAGTCCAAAACACCTGGGAGGCCAAAGTTTGCCCATGCCTGTGCTAAAAGTTGCTTGCTTTCCTTATTTTTGTGTGGACCAGAGGCATTGAATTAGCATATCTGAATCCCAAAGAATTTTTTAGGATTTACTTTTACAAGGAGGGGTTTATAGAATGATGTGAAAATGAACCCCCCCCTCAACTATGGGTCTTAGCATAGCAAGAGTGAATTTGAGGTTGTGTACCATGTCTCAGCTTGAAACAACAGTCCCAGTGTAGTTCTGTCTTTATAGTAACAGCAGGAGAACAGAGTGATATGTCTCTTGTTTCTTGTGGCTTCTGTCCAGCCAGCTATGGCAACCACCCTTTCTGAAGGATAAGGACATGCAATTTGTAAAGACGCTAAAGACAGACTGTGCATTGCTCTAAGACATCTGGCCCACGTTCTTCAATTTAGGCAAATGAGTGACTGGATGAGTTGGCCCAGAACTTGCTTCTGTCCTACATTTTCCAGAATCCAATGAAATATATGGCCTGTGGCTTTGTGTCAGGACTGGCATTTATATCTCCACAGTCAACTGGAAAGTAATGAGGAAAGGTGTGCATAGCCCAGAATCAGCACCTGGGTTGACATGATCACATTACCATCTACTGAATCCTGCAAATTTCTTTGGAAGACAAGTGGACAAATGTCAGTGTGCTGGAAGAAGCAAAGACCACCAGCACTGAAGCGATGGTCCTCTGCCATCAGCTCCACTGGACTGGCCACGTTGTCCATCTCCCAAAGCAGTTGCTCTACTCTGAACTCAAGAACAGAAAACGGAATGTTGGTGGGCAGGAAAGGGATTTAAAGATGGGCTCAAAGCCAACCTTAAAAACTCTGGCAGAGACACTGAGAACTGGGAAGCCCTGGCCCTTGAGCGCTCTAGCTGGAGGTCAGCTGTAACCAGCAGTGCTGTAGAATTTGAAGAGGTATGAATGGAGGGCAAAATAGAGAAACATGCCAAGAGGAAGGCATGTCAAGCCAACCCCAACTGGCACTGCCTTCCACCTGGAAACCAATGCCCTCACTGCGGGAGAAGATGAAGATCACGAATTGGGCTCCACAGTCACCTACGTACCCACCGCCAGTACACCGATCTTGGAAGACAATCCTACTCGGACAATGAGAGATTGCCTAAGTAAGTATTTATTTATTTATTTAAAACTTTTATATTCTGATCTTCTCTACCTCTGTAGAGGGACTCAGACCGGCTAAGTAATTACCATCTTTTGAATATGTGTCAAACATAAAGTATTCCTCCTCATCAGACATCATAACTATAGCAAATGGAAGTTGTGATACAAGAACAGCTAGAAGGCTGCAGTTTGTTCTACTTAACTAAAAAGACAATGGATTCCCAAAATCGCAAAGACACAAATTCACTACAAGGAGTAGTACATCAATCACAGAGATAAATGTTTTTGCAACTTATATAATACAACATTGAACACATATACAACAAACATAAGACTGTTATATACTCAGTGATTTTTACACCAGTCACAGAAGTAGAATATTTTTGGATTTAAAAGCAGACTTCTAAGGGCAT